TGAGGGGACCCTCTCCCGCCCCGCCCCCCCCCCCCCTGCACAAATTTTGGGCCCCAGGCCTCTAGTTGGGTAGATTAAAAACCAGGATGGGATTTACCAGCTGCGAGAGGAATTGGGGAAGTATCCTAACTCCCTGCTCCATGATTAAATGTCAGGTTAAAAGAAGAAATGCCAGTTCTTACAGACTGCAGCTTGCAGTTTCAGTGTGAAAAAAGCTCTTCATTTTGAAGTCTGGGCTCTAAAATGTGCCTGCTCTACCTCTTGCTCCTGGGCAGTGTCTGGAGCACTGGCACTAGCTTTACCGGCCTCCTAGGGTCCTGGAGGGGCATTGTTTGGGGAGGTTAATCAAAGCCCGTTTGTGTGTGAGTGTGCATGTGTGTCAGGCGCAGTGAGGCCTTGCTACATAAAACAGTATACCTTATTATTACATTTACTTTATAGGACTTGAAAATATTCTGTAAGTTCTGGTTATTTGAGGGCTTCTTGGAATCAGGATTTTTATCTAGTCTGTGATCACCTCTGCAAGTTCCTAAAATATGGCTCGCTGGACCTACTTCCCAGGTGTTGCTCTGCTTCTTCCAACCACTAGGAGCCCTTAATCTGAAAAGATACAAATTCTGTGTAGTATAGTCATTTATATTATCTCAAAAATATTCTTTTTTTCTTCATAGCGTTTATTTAGTTTTCTATGTATCACTTAACCTAATTTTGTAAGCCAGTCAGATTTCTTTTGGGGTATGTGTAGGTAGGTGGGCATACACTAATTTTAGGGCACAGTATGAAAATAGTATTTGCATTACTGTTTAATGTTTTTTCCTTTTTTTTATTAGGCAAGAAAAAGTCATATTTCCCACGTTGTTCATGGGTAACTGAATTTGTTTGCTGTGCTATTTTTTATTCTTTTTCAATCATGATGTGTGGTGGGAGACCCATTAACAAACTGTTTTCACTAACTGCATGGGGCTGACTGCTTTAACCAACTTACAGCCCATAAGTGAGCCTTCAAATTCCTGTTTGACTCACCTCTATACCATTATTGGTTCAGCTGTGCAAAACCAAACTGATGAGTTGTAGTGGTGCTGGGGCAGTTGTGAATAGCAGGCACTCGCGGTGTGGTCAGGTGCTGAGAGATGATGCAGGAGTCGAGTGGGGGCCCCGGGTAACGGGCAGGTCCTGGGACCGTATTTGAATGTCTTTGTGGGACTGGGTTCTTCCTGTTACCAGTGCGTCTTGTTTTTTCAAAGCAGGCACTAATGACTACGGAGCCTTGCTGGGGGGACTCTCCCCTCTGAGAAACATTGGAATGATAGATGGAGACGTGTATAAGATCTGCCTTTCTTCTCAGTTTTCAGGAAGGCACATTTCAGTTTGTAGGGCCTGGGGCAAGGTCGCGAGCCGGCTGAGCTGCGCGGCTCCCATGGACCATCTAACTAGGAAGACGGGTCTGGAGTGTGTCTGCTGCCTCCTGCATGAGCGCTGGCCCACTCTCAGGCCTTTCTCTACCGCCCTCTCAGGTGTCCTCCACTTGCTGCTTTGATGGATTTAGTGTCCATACGTCATCACTGTTGTGTTCTATTTATTGTCCTCCGGACTAGCTTATAAAGTGCCCTTTTCACTTCTGTTGCCATTTTACAACTCACCTTAGTTTCTTTTCTCAGCTGGAGTCTCTATTTTTCAGACTCTTCAACTAGATTTTGGTGGTAAGGCCATGAGACTTCATAGCTTCTGTAACCTGTTCACATAGATAATTCCCAAGATCTGTGTCCCACCCCTGCCTGCTCTCTTTCCGTTCATTTCTGTGGTGTCCACTGGGGCATTTCCTTTCAGCTCTTTTGCTGCTTCCTGAAACCAAATGTGAATATGGAGGTTTCTTTCCCCATTTCACAGCTTTGCAGTTTCCTGAAGGTGCCTCACCAGACACAATCCTACCTCTAGGGTCAGCTCGCTCCCTCTGGTCTTCTGCGTCCCACTTCTTGGTTCAGGAAAGAAGTGCTAGGTGAGGCCCTAGCCGATGGTTATTCTCTCTCTATTCTGTCCAACTTGCAAATCAGAATTTCCCTTCCCATTCATACTGAGAACGACTCACCTAGCTTCTTGTCCTTTTGTATTCTGATCGCACTGCTTGTTTTTCCCACTAGAGCCGACTTGGGTTGGGAGCACCAAAGTGGTTGCTCACTGAGGGCTGTCAGGTCTCCTCTGGCCAGGAGGATGCTGGGAAAGGAGAATGGCCTGGCCATCTGGAGGCAAGTTATGAGCCCTGCTTCCCCATTGAATGGCTCGTAGGTGAACTCAGGTGAATGGCTGGACCTTCTCCTGCTTTGGTTTTTTGAGCAGTAACAACAATGGGGATGGACTTTATGTTCTTTAAAGATCCGTCTAATTTGAAAATGCCAAATCTCAGTCCTAAGCCTGCACGTGGAGCCATCCTTATGGTCGCTGCTTTTGCACACCCCTGTGGAGCAGGTGCCAGGTTCTTCCTGGCATCCACAGTGCTCCCTTTCTGCTGGTTTTGGGGGTGTCTGTAGTACAGCCTGCAGAATGTGGTGTTCACCTGTGTAAAGCTGAGGTTTGTGAGGCCTGCCTGGTTCTCCTTGGGCTTTGAGGAGAGGCGGGCATTGGTGGCTCTGGGACTAGTCAGACAAGTGACAGCTGGGCTTACTATGTGAGGGCTGCAGTGGCATATAGGATGGGGCCCCTACCCCCGGAGGAGGCACAGGCGGATAGCCTTGGGAGAGTAGGAGGGATGATTTCAAGTTTTCACATACGACGAGGTTATTTCTTCAGGCATTAACTGTTTCTTCAGAGTAGCGCGGGGTCATTTAGTCAAGTCTCTTTTGCATGCCTGTTTCTCTGAGATTACACTCACCTCTTCAGTGTATGTAGCACTTATCTTTGTGGGGAATGTGAAGAATGAGTCTATACTCAACTCCCTAGACCCCTCTGATGAGTGGATGGCGGGGGGCAGTGGTGGGCAAGTGTGGTGAGTGCGGCCTTTTGCAATTCGCTGTATTTCCCAAATTGCTAGTGGGACACTTTCCTGGGAAGTTTTCCAGGATGGAGAGGCTGAAGTGGCTTCCTGAGAGGTTCCAGGCCTCGCACTCACCCCTCACTGCTTCCCGCGGCTGTGCTGCCAGATGGGTGGGCTGAGGTGGGCGCTCTGCATCCCTGGGCTCAGGTGCGCGGCCCTCCTTGTAGATCCTGTGCTGGGCTGGTTGCTCATGAGTCTGCAGAGCAGCCTCCCCAGCTGGCTTTGCTTGCTTAACAATGTAAAAAAGTTACTTTCCCCCTTTATTAAGATATTCATGTATATTGTAGGAGATTTGGAAAACAATAAAGTATAAAGTAGTAAACAAAATTTACCCATAACCCAGAGGGAAGAAAAGTAACTTGTTAAATTTTCTTTCTACAATATATATGATTTTATGTACATATGTGTGTGTGTGTGTGTGTGTGTGTGTGTGTTTGTGTGGATGTATGTATGTGTGAGTACCTCCACACATTCTAGAATTAGTTACACAGGTAGTAATGCCTATCTATATAAGGGGCTATAGTCTAGAACAGCCGCGGGCAAACTACGGTCCGCGGGCCGGATCCGGCCCGTTTGAAATGAATAAAACTAAAAAAAAAAAGACCGTACCCTTTTATGTAATGATGTTTACTTTGAATTTATATTAGTTCACACAAACACTCCATCCATGCTTTTGTTCCGGCCCTCCGGTCCAGTTTAAGAACCCATTGTGGCCCTCGAGTCAAAAAGTTTGCCCACCCCTGGTCTAGAATCTAGAATATATATTACTTACACTTTTTCTTTTTTCTTCACATCATTTAACATATACAGTTTGGTAACCTTTTCCTACTCACCATTAATTACATTCTGAATATTTTCCCATGCTATTAAAGAACTGTGGAAATGGATTTTAAAAATATTTTTATTGATTTCAGAGAGGAAGGGACAGAGAGAGAGATAGAAACATCAGTGGTAAGAGAGAATCATTGATCAGCTCCCTCCTGCACGCCCCATGCTGGGGATCAAACTTGCAACCCAGGCATGTACCCTGACTGGGAATCAAACCATGATCTCCTGGTTCATAGGTTGACACTCAACCACTGAGTCATGCTGGTCGAGCGTGGGGAAATGGATTGTTAATGGTCGTACACTATTTTATCATTTAGTTGTGGCTTCAGTGGCCAGTGTGATGAAGCTGCCCATAGTCTCATTACCGTAGGACCACTGAGTTCTCAAGTCTAACCAACTGATGCTCGAGGCAGCCACTCTTCCCTGGGCCGTCGGGATTCTGCTATGGGCCGGGAAGAGGGATAGTTGTAGAGAGCAAATGAATTTCTTGCTGTGTGTCAAGTGGTTTTAAATGACAGTCTCTCTTTTTCTTCCCCTTCCCTTCTCTGCTCTGTCACCCCCACAGGGCAGTAAACGGCTTTGACCCAGCTCCTCCTCCTCCTGGTCTGGGCTCCTCGCGCCCCTCGTCGGCACCAGGTATGCTGCCTCTCAGTGTGTGAGTGCCCAGCTTCCAAATGGGGGCTCCTGCCCTCCTCCAGCAACCCAGGACACCCACGCCTCACCCTTCGGTGCCTGGGCCCAGCCCGTGGCTCTGTCTGCCTCCCTAGGGCTGGCAGAGAGAGGGCAGGCTGCATGCAGTGGTGGCTGCTGGGCCCTGCCCAGCCCCAGGACTGCGCGATATCAATACTGGCTATTTTCTCTTCTCGCCGTAGTGCCGTTGGTTTCACATGATTGCACTTTTGTGGGTCACAAAGTGATACGTACATGTATTACTTGGTCACTGGATGCAGAAGTACCCATTCATCATACCTGCCTCATAGCCCACCCTGCTGTACTGATAGGATTTAGTTGTATTTAGGACATTGCAAATCTTTTAGACGTTCTCTCCCAAATCAGGTCAACGTGTGCCCTCCTGAGCTCCCACCCAAGCACCTTTGTGCTCATGATCATGTGTTTGTCCCCAGCTCCACCCCACACAGCTGGGCCTGTTGCTGGCAGACAGTCAGGAAGGTCACTGAATTAGGGAACACAGTCTCATTACCCTAGGACCACTGAGTTCTCCAGTCTCATTACTGCGCCTTGTGATTTTACTTCAGCAGTTAGCATTCCATAGCTTGGCCTCCCAGAGCAGGAGCCTGTGGGGCCTGGGACAGACAGCTGGGCCTCTGCTGTCTTCTCCTCCGTGTGCCTCAGACGAGGGGTGGAGGTGGTGACAGCCTCCTACCAGCTTTCTGGTCCTTCAGTTAAATGACAGCTTCACAGCTTTTTGGTTTTGTTCTGCGGGCCTCTCCAGTTGTGTTAGGAAGGACTGAGTGGCCTGATGCCGGGGGCCGGCTGGTGCCAGCTCCTGGGGGGCAGACTGACCCCAAGTGGTTGTCCCTGTGCATCCTTTGATTACTCTCATGCTGCATTTACTGTTTACATTTGTTTTTTTGTACATAGGTTTGTAAACATTATTGCCCAAGATATTTGTAAATAACTTGGGCTTTGTAGCTTTTATTTATTCAGAACTCATACGGCATGTTAATGACTTACGATGGTGTCCTACTCTGGGCAACTGTATAGAATCATCATGTGGTTAAAAAAAAAAAAAGAGAAAGTACTTCCCCTCCAAAAAATCTTTTAATGTGGAAACAATAAATTTCACACAAAAAAGTATCAAGGTTGCGTTATTGGGTCCCCGCCATCCTGTGGGAGAAGAGCTGGAGTTACACAGCCAGGTTCCGATGTCGCTTCTGCTCCGACCTGGGACATGTGGGTGGACAGCAGCGCGGAGTGGGCAGAGGCAGTTCAGCAGCCTCCGGAGAAGTCTGATGCACGAGCAGGTGTGCTCAGGCCGGTCCTCGTAGCTGAGTCCGGGGGGCAGCCTGAGATGGCCCTGCGCCTCATGCAAACCTGGAAGGAGGACCCGGACCTTGAGGGAGGCCACTTGCAAGGTCACAGGGTAACTGCGATGGAGCTGGGCGCTGGCCCTTCTCTGTGCTGCCTGTCATGATGTGTGTGGTGTCCTGGGAGTAGAGGTTACTCGGGCCTGGGCTTTTCTCCTTATCCCTCAGGTTGATGTTGGCAAGTGAGAGGAGGTGCCCGATGTTTGCAAGACATAGGTGACTGGACTTGAGAAATGTACAGACATAGGAGTCAGTACGAATGTATCACGTTCTGAACATTGCTTATAACAGAGCAAAACCAGGATAGTGTGTAGTTTTAAAACTAAATAAGTGAAAAGTGAATCAAGTTCCTAAGGGAATACTGAACTTTAAGGAGGATACATTAAAAACTTCCTTCTGTCTGCTAATCTGTGGGCAGGAATACTTCTGTTAGTTGTTCCTGGGGGTTTTGCTGTGAGCTGCCTCCCGAGAGATGTTTCCAGGGGGGTGTGCTGTGCCCAGTTGAGCCGTGGAGCAGGCGAACGGAGAACTTCAGGCCTCTTTCTGATGGGCGGCAACTCGCAGCTTCTTTCCCAATCATTGAAGCGATTGGATTAGACCAGAGGCTGAAACGTTTAGCCAGACCTTTGTTAATGCAGGGACCCCAGATCTAACACATAAGAGCAGAGCTACTCTGGTGAAAGCAGCGATGAGTTCTGGAGCCCTGAGTCGTCGTCCCTGGCTCCCAGTGATTTTCCGGTTCCTTCTTAGCTGAGCACCCCTGGAATCATCTCATCCCAGTGGTCTGTCAGTTCAGTCAGGTGGTGGCAGGGGAGGCCCTGGCTGCAGAGGCCAGTGTCATCCCCGGACGTCATCTCTGCTTCGGGTCCAGGAGAGCAAGGGCCAGGTGCGTGAAAGGGCAGGAGCACGCTGCTGGGCTTTATAGCAACAGCTGCCCTCGGCGTATGACCCATGGGGAAGCTGCATGACTCCCCTGGCCTCAGTTTCAGCTGTTTGGATGATTTGGTTAAATGCTCAGCTAGAACATTTGCTGCTGACACCACATTCTGTCTGCTCTTCTAGCTAAAGATTGCCTAGCAGGCCCCTGCCTCTGAGTGGGTTCTCTTCCTGGGACCGCCCCATGCCTAGGTCTGCCTGGCCCTCGCTGAAACTTTTAGGAGTGATCCCTCCCCTGAGCTGGGTCCACGGGTGGTCCCCCTGCTTGGAGGGGGTGAATCTTCAGGTGGTGAGTCTTCTTGCCTCCAGATACTGTTCTCTCACCACCCGGTCCCATCCCTCGCTCCTGAAATGCATGAGAGTAGGAGTGAGTGCTCCACTGCCTTTCAACCCAGAGTGGTAGGAACTATGCCCAACCAACTCTGCTGAGGTCTGAAGCCAAGCTGGGCATATGCGAGTTAGGTATAGGCAGCCTGAGAGGAGATGAGCTGGCTTACCTGTTTACAGAAGGGAAGGTGGGCCCGGAGTGTTGGTGACTGGCCTGAACTCACACAGCTAGTTCATAGCAAAGCCAGGGTGGGAAGTGAGCTCTTTTTCTGCTGTGTTCTCCACTTTCCAGACTTGAGGCCTCGTTGCCCTGACTCTGTCTTGTGCCTCAGGAGATGAGCTGCTGTGGATGCTGGGAAATGTGTGGGGCAGGCACAGCCTTTGCAGCAGGAGGAATGTGATGCACCCCCCCCCCCCCCCCACTTCCAATCCTGTACTTGAGTATTGACTGTGCTGCTCTCAGCAGCTGTTGCAGAAGGGCCATTAGCATCTCTGAGAGCCAAGGTGGGAACGGTGCCTCTGGGGCAGGGGAGGTGTCCTGGGGTGGAGCCTCAGCTTTAGGGAGCATCTTGCTAGCAGCGGTTCTCAACCTGTGGGTCGCGACCCCTTTGGGGGTCGAACGACCCTTTCACAGGGGTTGCCTAAGACCATCGGAGAACACGTATATAATTACATATTGTTTTTGTGATTAATCACTATGCTTTCATTATGTTCAATTTGTAACAATGAAATTGGGGGTCACCACAACATGAGGAACTGTATTAAAGGGTCACGGCATCAGGAAGGTTGAGAACCACTGTGCTGAAGCCACGTCATCCTGCCTGGCCAGCACAGCCAGTACGGCTGCTGGTGGGACTGAGCCGAGAAAGGGGATGGGTCCAAGCAGTCAGTTTTCTGTTTGCCTAGATTAGAAGATGCTAGAGGAGCCTTTTCCTCCTTCCAATATTTACTTCAAGGAGTTTTCTCTCTACTTTTGCCCCAAAGGTTGAAACAAATTGAGAAACGCTAGCTTGGCCTTCAAAATTTAGCTGTTACTTGAATCATTCTTAAAAATGGGAGTAGGGGAGGAGGCATCTTTGTAAATCTTCTTATGACTTAAAGCATCTTATCTGAAAACTGGTCCTATGACTAAAAATAGGACCTGTGGGAATACAGTCACCTTATTTATTTATTTATTACTTTTAAAATATGTTTTATTTATTTTTTACAGAGAGGAAGGTAGAGGGATAGTTAGAAACATTGATGAGAAACATCGATCAGCTGCCTCCTGCACGCCCCCTACTGGGGATGTGTCCGCAGCCAAGGTACATGCCCTTGACCGGAATCGAACCTGGGACCCTTCAGTCCGCAGGCCGACGCTCTATCCACTGAGCCAAACCGGTTAGGGCTACAGTCACCTTTTTTAAATGTTAAGGACAAACAATAATCTGGAGTAAATATTAGTTTAACAGACTCCCTTGGTAAGATAGCACATGTGAAGAGGCAAATGTGAGAACAGAGCAAAGCGTAGAGTGCTGGTTGGGGGACCAGGTGGGTTTGTGCCATGTGGGTTATGGTTTGCAGTTATGTTAGTTGCCTGTCAGCTCTGAAGCCTTCACCAAGCGAAACGCGATGCAAACTGAATAGGAATTTAGCTTGTTTACTTTTGGGGAGTTTGTAATCAGGTGTCAAGTTTGACTAGTGCCCATTAAAACGCGGAGGTCCTGCCTGGTTGTGGGTGCTGGTGGAGGTCTGGAGGGTGCCGGGCAAGCAGGCCTGGCACAGTTTGGATAAACAGTCAGATGAGTGTCATCCAAATGAGCTAGGGCCCTGTTGCTCCCTGTCGGTTCATGATGGAACTGAGAAACACTGTTTTTCTGGTTAAAAAAAGGTGATTGTTTTAACTAGGAAAAAATCCCAGCGAATCCCACTGTCATCTAGACTTTAGGGCATACACCTCTGCATTTTTGGTGTCACTAAATTATTAAGTCTTGAGTCTTACGTAAGCTATACAAGCTCTTTCTACTTTAGGGATGACGTCTCATGGTAGTAAGAACAAGTAGGCCCAGGCTCCACCCCAGTGCCAGCCCTGGGAGGAGCGCACATCAGTTCACAGAATCTCAAACCAGCAATTATGAGCACCTTATTTTGTGAACCGTTAAGAAAAATGTGCCAGTAGAACTGTGAAAATGCTTATCATTTTGACTTTTTATATTTATTGAGGATTCTTTAAGATTTTAGACAGGTTTTCATCACATCACACTTCATATACAAAAAGGAAACCGTGAGACATGGCTAAGACTTCACGTTGTGAACCACTTCTGACGAGTTGTCCTTGCAGTTTTCCAAGCAGTGTTGTCCTCTGGGTCCCGGTGAGCGCTGGTGATGCAGTGTTTCTGAAAAGATGTTCTGTCGATGGCTCCAGAATTTTCTTGAAGGCTGCTGGTATCCGTTCTGCAGGATCTGATGCTTGGGGTTTATTGACCTTCCTCTGACAGCCACATCACAGCTGCCACCTACTGGTGGCACTTGTGAGACGCACGAGTTCACATGTGAGAACACGGGTGTCTTAGGGCCTCTGCGGGATGGCATTTTGTAGGAGGCAGTGGCTCTGCTTGGATGCTTGTCAGACTCGAGTTTAATAGATGCCATTTTACATCTTGAATGAGGCTTCATGACATCCTGTCAGTGGGGTGAGGTCCATTATTGGGGGGCTACTTGGAAAAAACAAATAGACCTGTGTTGTAATGAGTCAAACATGGAATTCTAGTCTTGGGAAGGGTTGAAGGACATGGTCACACTTCCGTGTGTGGTACACAGGTACTGGAATTATAGTTAACATTGTCTTTGAAAGCTGGCATCATGCCCATATACCCTTATTGATAGTTTTGCATTAGATTTCTGTCAATTGTATGAGACACGTCACAAGATTTGCTAGATTCCCAAATGATACGAGGCTCCACTAGGGAGTGGGCGCCCCATCTGGTCCTGACAGCTGGCACAGGGTACAGCACTCTAGTGGGTGCTCAGAACTTGGTACAGATGTGAGTTCCCAGTGACTAGAACCGATGGTGCATGGGGACTCCCTTTGGGTCTCAGTCACAGGCTTCCCTCTCATACCTGCCTGGAACTTTCTAGATCCCATCCTACGGCCTGTTCCTGTGTGGGCTTTCTAAGGGGGTGAGGATGAGACAGGAAGTGGTGGTTGACAGCTTTGAGCTCTTTCTTCTCCAGGCTTGACACAGAGCATTGGTTTCAGGAGGCAGGGGCCATGGGTCAGTCCTGCCCAGAGCCACAGGGGGCTCCTGTGAGGGGACGCCACAACTTGTCTTCAGGCTCACACGTCATCTTAGCGGCGGTTTCCAGGGATGGGGAACTGGTGACAGGAAGGAAAGGTGACATCAGTTACACCCTCAGGCCAGTCCCACTAGGAATATAGGTGTGCTATTCCTACTGACGCGGTTTAAAATAATTCCCGAGTGGATGCATTAAAAAAGAAAGCCTAGGATGTGGCAGGGGCAGACAGCGTGAAGAGCTGCATGTTAACACCTTTCGTACCGCTCACGAGTTTTCTCATGTTTCGCGCGCCATCTGTTATGGATCTTAGATGTCAACACACTGTCTTGTCCACATCGAATGAAGCGATCTCATTGGTGGAAACCGTGCAGGTCAATCTACGAAAAACTATATAATTGCACGAACCCATAAAGCATTGCAGTTACATTGTATTTTGGTCATTCGAATAGTCTTCGTCTTCAAGTTCCTGGCGCTTTTAGAAATGCCCTCTCTCAGAAAAAGGAAGGAAACCAACGAAACTGATACACTTCCTTTCGTGTTGTTCCATTCTAAGGAAAACGATGAAATGGACAAAAAAAAGTAGTGCTGTACCGTATAAACTGTGGACTTTTCAATTCATTTAGAGTGTACAACGTCCTCAATCCACAAGCAAAAATGAAGTATAAACAGTTTCTGCTATCGGTGGCGAGAGACTGGATAACGGATGACAATAATGAAGGCTCTCCGGAACCAGAGACAAATCTGTCCAGCCCTTCCCCTGGGGGTGCAAGGGGAGCACCTCGTAAAGATCCACCCAAAAGGCTGTCAGGTGATAGGAAGCAGCATGAACCTACGTGTATTCCAACGAGTGGAAAGAAAAAGTTTCCTACGAGAGCCTGCAGAGTTTGTGCCGCCCATGGAAAAAGGAGCGAATCTAGATACTTATGTAAATTTTGTTTGGTCCCTCTTCATAGAGGAAAATGTTTTACGCAGTACCATACGTTAAATAGTACTAGGAACTTCAATTGTTTGTTTTTGTAAATAAAAATGTTATAATTATTGAAAAACAACACCTAAAGTGTATTATGATCTGTAGTTATGATTTAAATAACGTGCAGTTTGCCCCAAAACATGCGGTCCCTGGCGTATGTCTTCGAGATTTCTATGCGGTACGAAATGTGTTAAAACCCTCGCCTCATCTCAACAAAAGGACAGGCTTTCTCAAGTCTCACCTGGTCTCTTCCTCACGATGAACCCTCTCCTGGGTGGCAGCTGGCCAGCAGCTTTAGTCTTTGACACAAAGCCCAGCTCCCATGAACTTGTGCTGTCAGTGCCCGGCAAAGGTTTTATGAACTACCTTTCCTGAGCCTACGCAGCGGTGGCTTGTTTAGTAAGGAAAGGTTCCTATGGCTGGCATCTCTGGAGTCAGTCTGTGGAGATTGAGTTTCTCCCGATAGCCGAGTTGTCAGTGACTACACCAGCCACACCAGCCAGGTGGGAAGCATTCCTTCTGAGGAAAACCAGCCTCTGAATTCCACACGCACCTGGACCAAACTAAGGAGGCTGAATGCCAGGGTGGACACACGAAACGTGGTAACTCACCTTTTTTCTCCCTTGGTAGTGACAGGGAGGAAAGGAGTGCCTGTCCATTTTACATTCCCTGCCAGGAAGCCTGGATATGTGCCGTGTGCCCCCAGGGCCAGCCTGAACTATGGATATTAGGGAATTTCCTACGTGATTTTGTGATCCCTTAGTTACTCCTCTCCAGCCCATCCTAATTGACCCACACTAGTGAGGCTGCCCTTGGGTCTTATTACTGAATCCCCCCTCCCCCAATTATTTTCAGTGTGAATACTGCTTGAAAATGCAGTCTGAACCTTGGATTTCTTAAAATACTCCAGTCCAGCAAACAGCTCCATCAGCTGGTGACCGAAACCCTCCAACGGCTTCATCCTCAGCCCTTTTCTATTTGCGAGCGGGTCGCCAGCCCAGGGCCCTTTCCTCCCCAATGCAGCTACACACAGAGGCCACTGGGCAGGATGCGACTTGTAGCCGACTGCCCAGAGAACTGGCCTGTCACCTGACGCTTGGGAGCGCAGTGCCCTCAGAAAAAGGGGGCCTTTTAAGTCTGTGGGACTCTCAGCTGCCAATCAGATCACAGATGGGAAATTGAGAACAGAAGGTAAGAAAACAGATTCCACATTCACATGATTATTCTCATTTATTGAGGTCTGTTTATTCTTAATGGGTGCTTTTTCCTCCAAGTAAATAGAGCAGGCGTAAATATCTATAATGAATAAATTTATTGTCTTACAAAAATCATTGTCTAGAAATATGGGAATACAAGAAAAGATATTTGCAGTCAGGTGTCTGGTGGTCAACAGCCAGTACAGTTCATAACGGGGTAAAATCAAAGGTTCCAAACCCACATGACAAGTTCTTCCTAAAGATGTTAAAGCTTTTAACCCAAAAGGTTTGTGTTTTCAAGCACATTGCAGAGGATCAGGGATTTGTACTTAACACTGATTCATTGTCACTGAATGTTGGTAATACCACTTTGACTAGAGAGGTACATGATATGAAGCACAGTCAAAACTTAATACATTAAATTGTTACAGAGGCAAATAATATATTTAACGTTGTCTTAGTGCTGTAGTGTCTAAGGCACTTTCTGTAATGTCAGTTTGCTTACCTATCAACCAAAAACAGAATGTTAAATGTTCACTGTTAACACTGTCCAGAGGGGAGGGAACGGGAAAATGAAAAGGGATTCACATCCACTGGCATGTCAACATTCAGGCAGATGGCATCTGTTCTTGAGGGTCGATAACCTCATCAACAAACTTGGAACAAGTCTTGGACACAAAACCAATGTTCCCATTTTGGGCTCAAAGCAGCGGCTGAATTTGTAAGGTCAGCACAGGGGCCTGGCTGGCAAGGGAGGGCCTCCCACTGACTCCTGCTTAGGCGCCCACAGCTCTTGTTCCTGAAGCGAGGCGCACACTGGCAGAGCCAGGGGTTCAGGAGACCATCCGGGCGTCGACGTGATTGCTGCCACTGGGGCTTCAGCGGCATGGCGGCTCCTATCCTTTCTATGCACAGACCAGCCCTGGCCAAGGACAGTTCACACGAAGAGACGAGGGGATACCACCAACTCGAGCGAGACGGCATGGTAATCCCCAATGAATGCTGCTTCCCCAATCCATCCCACCCCTCCTAATCTTTCCAAAAAGCCCCTTTCACAGTTTGCTCGCTGAAATAGTGTTGATCGTTATTTGAAGGAAATGAGATACAAGTGCAGTTTAGGTTCCACAATGTTCTAAGAGAATTGATGTGGCTGAGGAGTTGGGGGCCACATGAACACAGCTAAGTTACCTGTCTGTGTGACAGAGAGCATGCAGAGCGACCGAGCAACAACCACGGGGCTGCCCCAATACCCAGCGACTGGCAACAAGGGTCTGGAGTTTGTTTGAAAAAGGGTTCTCTTCTTAACATGTATTATAAAATGGTCTCTTGATGAATATATGGAAAATAGATGCAATGATGAGACAGTCTGTTTAATATGTGCATGTTCTGTGTATGTATATATATAAAAAGGGGAGCAATTGTACCTAAATCTGAAGCAGGATACAGTATGTGTAGGCTGGAAAGCCTTAAGACACAGTTGATCTTGCAGTAAGGAGTCCCGTGGCTTGCCAACTTCCTAATCTGTAGGAGGCCCGAGGCAGGCTGGTGCCGGGTGCGTTCCTTCGTGTCCCACTGTATTGCCTCCACTGGCTTCCGGTGACCCTACTCCGACTGGGGTGGCTGTGTCTCATTGACATCACTGGTCTTGCTTTCGGTGTCATCGTCTGACAGCTCTAGGGAAGCTCCTTCGATGTGCAGCTGGCGCCGGCCAGATCGGCTCGAAGAGAAGCTGATTGGGCCGCCTCGCCTGGCAAGAATAGGAAGTAGACACGTGGGTAAACACGTAAGAACATGTGGCAGTCAAGTTGTCCAGTCACCAAACTTCCACCCCTTCCTCAGGACACACCACCTGGGGGTGTGAGTGGCACGATCAGGACAGGCTCTGGGCCTTCCACCTCTGCTGTCACCACGCCTGACTGCCATCCTGGCCAGCACAAGCGTGCAGTGGGCAGGAGGTCCTCCGTGTACCTGATCCAGTTATGGCTGGCTGTGCTTGCTAACCGAGGGTAAAAGGGCACATAACGGAAGGGAGGGAGGGAGGGGGAGAGACACAGAAACACTGATGTGAGAGAAACAGCCTCCCACACGAGCCCCGGTCGGAGCCAGGGATCGAACCTATAACCCAGGTATGTGCCCTTGACCGGGAATTGAACCTGCAACCCTTTGGTGCTTGAGCCAACGTTCTAACCACTGAGAAACACCACCCAGGGCAGATAGTAAATATTTTACTTAGGCTGTGTGGGCCATATCAGGTCTCTGTTGCATGTAAAAACCATTCTTGGCTCACTGCTGGACAAAAGCAGGGCACATCAGAGTTTGGCCATGGGCCAGCCTATCTCCTCTGGGGGAGGAAGTTCAGTGCTCATGTTTGGGCCTCTCCCCGGTGGGGGTGAGGACGGTGGGGGTGAGGACGGGGAGGGGCTGATGGTGCCAGGTCCTGGGAGAAGAGGCTGGGACCTTTCCTCACATGGATGTTGGGACCTGGTCCCAGCTTGGTGTGTCTGTGTGTGTGTGTATGGGGGGGTGGGGGGTTGTTCCTCCTGTTCTCCTTAAGGACTACGAAAGGTCAGAAATCCCGAGTGGATAAACTTAAGAGCAAGAATGAGTAACTCTACATGAACTAAGTAAACCAGAAAAATCAAGCCCTAAGCCTAGAAATCCGGCTGTTTTTGGGAGCTTTGGGCACAGACTCCACGAGACCCAGCGCCTCCGAGTCCCCTCGGTCGCTCACCTCAGCCGGTTCTTCAGGGTGCTGACCTCACGGCTCAGCCCCTCGTTGGCCTCGGTGGCATCATCCAGTTCCCGCTGGAGTTTACGCCGAGATGCATTGGCACGTGTAGCTTCTTCTTCCGCTTCCTCCAGCTGCCGTTTAAGCTGCTTCATCCTGGCATTGGCCTTCTCCATCTTGGGGAAATTACATGAATCACGTCAAACCAAACTGGCGAGTCCAGATACAGTCCCACCGCATCCTGAGTGCCCGCCAGCCACGTGAGTGCGTGTGCTTACAAGGGGGGCTGGTCTCAGGCCTGATCTGCCATTGTCAGCAAAGCCAGTGTGTACAGAGCAAACTACGTGAAAGGAAATCTCTAAAAACTTAAAACCCTATTTTCTCCCCGAGTTTTTAACAGAAAATGAGTGTAGTATCTTCACATAAGGTATTAAACCTATGGGAGAGCCAGCAACGTGAGTCTCCAACCCCAGGAGATGGTACATTCATGTTTATGCCTCCTTTCAATATGGGTGTTTCAAGTTCAAAGCCTCACATGAAGACCTGACATGGTCATGCTCGTGCAGCTCACGCCCACCCAGAACTGCCCCATGCTCTATGCTGAGGGCGGGGGTAAGAAGGGAAGGCTGGGGTGCCTCATGAGCAGGGGAAGAAAAGGGAAGGGAGGTTGGGGCCAAAGGCAGTAGAATCATCTCCGTCTACCTCAGCTACCTAGGCTATTGTCTATGCAGACCTGGCCGCAGTCTTATTAGATTCTCCTGATACTTAAAAAAAAGATGCCTGGATGCAGACAAGGAAAACCATTTAGAGGCAGAGATCACTGCACTCATGAAGGTGCACCTCGCGGAGGAAATCGGCCTCACACTTCAAAGCCCTCAGTGTGCTCTCACTGCCCAGGAACTACTCTAGGCATCTGAGGTGCTGGGGAGGGAGACTGACAGCGAGGCAGAGATCACTGCACTCATGAAGGAGTGCCTGGCAGGAACAGCCCGTGTGTGTTAAAATATTAGAATTTAAGAGTTTAAAATAGCATTTAAAAAATGTATTTTTATTGATATCAGAGAAGAAGGGAGAGGGGGAGAGAAACATCAATGATAAGAGAATCATTGATTGGCTGCCTCCTGCACAGCCCCTACTGGGGATCGAGCCCGCAACCTGGGCATGTGCCCTTGACCGGAATCGAACCCAGGACCCTTCAGTCCACAGGCCAACACTCTATCCACTCAGCCAAACTGGCTAGGGCAGCTTTTTCTTTTTTCAATTTTTTATTTGCAGAGAGAAACATTGACTTGTTCTACTTATTATGGACTCATCAGTTGTTTTTGTATGTGCTCTGACGAGATCGAACTCGCAACCTTGGTGTATCAGGACGATGCTCTAACCAACTGTGCTAACCCAACCAGGGCCTCAGAGAGCATGTTCCTAATTTAGTCACCAAACAGTAACACGTGGCTCATTTGCATCGTCTCCTTGTAAAAGCATTTCTAAGATGGAAGACATTTCATCCTGGCCCACCTTCTTCCCTTACCTGTTCTTTATACTGATCTGCATGTCGACGCTCATCTTCAACCTGCATGAAGATTTCTTTCAGTTTCTTCTCCGTTCGTCGGACCAGTTTGTTGGCTGCTGCTCGTTCCCTGTGAAGATGATCAACCATTAATTAGCCTTTGTAATTCTTGACATGATAGTTCGAATTGAGGAAATAATTTTTAAAGTCCCTTTTCTCTGGAAGATGACAAATGTTGGGAGTGTTTTCCAGGGCCTCTCTGACGAGAATAAATTATGATAATACGGCCCAGAAGTTTTTCCCTTCTGGTCACGAGGGGCCTTAATAATGTATTCTAACACTGACGGGTAGATAAAGCGTATTCCTTCACATGCAGGTATTAATTGAGGGATCTCCTAAAGATCAAACGTTACACGCAAGCTACCTGCCATACGGAGTGCGGACTTTTTGAAGACAAAAACCTTGGTTGGTTATTCTAATCACCTAACTTCTTAGCCTTGAGACCAGAACAAAGACCCATTGTGATGCTCGGGCTATGGCAGCTAATGGGGGAGGGGACCGCCCACACTCACCCTTTAGTTAGAAGGCAAATCACCATGTTTCTAGACAGGCCTACACTGCTCCTTAGGAAGGAGAGCGAGCTTATTGGGTGAACCCCATTGACAACAGCGTGCGGGAGCTCAGAGATGCACTATGTCCAGCAGTAAAGGCGCCTGGGAAATGTGGGCCTCTTGAACCTGTGACTCTTGGTGTATGTTTCTCCTATTAAAGATCCTATGAGTCTGAATAAGGCCGCGTGTCAGTGCTTCTGAATCATGTCTGGTCTGAGTCCTGAATTTTAGACTTTTTGACCTTTTCCCCAACAAACAAAAAGTCCATTTGTTCCTGGACAAATGTTATACAGAAATGGACCGTGGTGGAGTTAGCTGAAAGGATTAAACTATGGCACCTAGAAAATCCTGGGCACAGTCTGACCAGCTGAATCCTGGCACAGCTGACAGGTGAGCCCAGCCTTCCTGGAGGCTCACACCACTTCTCTCTCTCTCTCTCTCTCTGATGACATGTGTCCTTGCCACCTCCCCTGCTACAGGGACTCCCTCTAGGGCAAGTGCCTGGCTGCAGGCTGGCCCTGGCCCTGGCCCGCAGAGATGCAGTGAGTTTTGGTTTAGTGCATCAAAAACCTCTTACTTGGCCTCCTGCTCAAGCTGCTCCTCCAGCTGCCCAATCTTGGCTTCCAGGGCCGAGATGGTGGCCTTAAACTTGGACTTGACAGCACCCTCTAGCTCCTGCAGCTTGGCCTTCAGCTCCTTGTTCTGCCGCTCCAGCTGCTGGCGCGCATTGTCACTCTTCTGGGCAGCACTGCGCTCGGCCGCCAGCTCTGCATTCAGTGTGTCCACCTGGAGAGGAGAGACGGTTTAGTCACTCGTGCCAGACGGGCAGCACGGCCCCCCCCAGGTGACGGGCTGCCGCCTGAGCCACCTGGAGCGTGGTCTTGCGGAAGCGGTCGTTGAGCAGCTCCATGTTGCTCTGCTCCTCCTCCAGCTCCTCCTCGAGCTGTGCGATTCGTGCCTCCAGGCGCCGCTTCTCATCCAGCAGAGCAGACCTGTGGGGCAAGGAGGCGGACAGCTCAACGCCAGCTTCGTGCAGCATGGGCACGCTCAGAGGGCTCCTCCTCCCACCGGGAGGCTACAAACAGCCCCACTCGACTTTTCTGTCCCCTGCACCCGTCCGCATCTGTCAAGTCCTGCTGATCACACTTCCACACACCACTCACTTGTGCCCTGCGCCTGCCCCCTCTAGGCCCCCTCACCTCTCCCAGTGGCCTCCCCACTGCCCCTCCATCTGTTCTCCAGAGCCAGCAGCTTTCAAAGGGCAAAAAGACCCTGGCACTTGTGCTTTAAACGCTACTGGCTGCCCAGCGCATTGAGATAAAACGCTGACTCCTCCCCATGGCACTCTAGAAAGTGACCGCGATGGACCCGCAGATGGTAATTAAATAGGGAAAGCAACTTCCTAATTGGAAAAAAAGATCTTTTAATGAAAACTCATTCAGGAAAAGGTAAGTCAAAGGAATCTACTTGCCAAACCTAATGAATTTAAGAGTGAAGATTGCATTGAGAGGCTGTACAGTCTGCGGAACAGGGTTCATTCTGAATGTACTTCCTCCTCACCTGTGGGCATGACTGGCATAGTGGGACCTGCCTGGGGCGGGCGGCCGCTGTAGCCGAGGCAGTCCGGAGGCCCAGCATCTACTGAACCCTGATTGCCGGACCCCGCCACGGCCTTCTGGGTGCAGCAGGCCCAGGTGCCAAGAGAACCAGTGGGCCGCCACTCATTTCCAGAGCCTGCCCCTCCCACTGCCGCAGGAGACTCACTTGCCAGAGGCGCTGTTCGCGATCTCATCCGCCAGCTCGTCTCTTTCTTGCTCAGCATGTCGGCGGGCTCGCTCGGACGAGGCAAGTTCCTAAATGAAGTCAGATAGGATTTAAGCTCTGGCTGTTAATGTTTCGTCAAATGTGAAATCTGATGAAGCCCGCAGGCTGCAGCCACCTTGCTCAGGCATCTGTGTGTGCCTGAAACTGCAATTAGATCTGAGGAATAACACTGGGAGGTTTGCTGAGGGAGTATTTGGGTGCAGGTCAGCCAGGTGCTGTGCCGTGTCACCATCGGGACACAAAGGTGCCCACAGAGGGAAGGCCTAGTCTCTGTAAGGGCGTGGCTGCCCCAGTGTCAGAGGCGGCTATGTTCCTGCCCTCCTGAGAAAGCTGGTGATTCTTAATCATGAACTGAGCGAAGCTTTATGCAAACCCAGAACTATGGCAATTCATGGTCGTGAAGTATCTGTTGCACATACAAGGAGTACAGTGTGGAGGTAAAGCACACTAACCAGAAAACACAACTCAGTGAGGAGCACAGCCCCCTGGGAAGGGTGGGGTATGACCTCAGCTCAAGGCAGGGCCTGGGTGGTGCGCAGGGCCTCTTCCTTGAGGAGATGGGAGCCTGGCCGTCAGGCTCCTGGGCTCTGCAGGGCCTCGGAGAACTGGGCAGGGCAAGGGGCCGCCGGTGCCTGCCGCCTCTGGAGGAAGAGCTGCCCGATGGCAGCTTTCGCACTTTCCTTGGGGAGCGGATCTCCCCCAGGCAGGAGCCCGTGTGCATTTCTCACCCCCCTGGGTCAAGATCAAGATCATAGTCTCAGAATCTGAGATGCACAGAACCCTTATTTTACGGAGGAAACCGAGGCCGTCGATGAAGGGCCTTGCCCAAAGCCTCAAGGTTGGCCAACAGCAGACACTCAGGGTCCTGCCCTCCCTGCCCAGAGCCGCTTCCCACCAGCTGCCCCTCCACATGGTGCTGTGTTTGGAGGAGCACGTCTCAGGATGCCTGTGAGCAGGGCTGCATAAAGAGCTCCTCTGTGCTGTGCACGGGCACCTGCGTCTAGTTAGAGCACAGGACGCAGGCCCCCCGAAAGGCCTGGCTCCACACACACAACTAGCACGTGGGGCAGGGCACGAGTCCAGCTGTGACAGCAGCAGGTGGAACGCAGGGCCGGACCCGAAGGCCTCTGTCGAACACACTGTGCAAGCGCAGCTCTGCCATCTGGCCTCTGCAGTCGAGTTTCCTGGGCCCGGCAAGGGCTCCTTCCCGACCACTGGCTGGGTGTGCGACAGACAGGGGCGGGGCCCCGGGGAGGAAGGGGAGGACCCGAGGGCCTGTAACCTAATGAACAAAGGTGACGGAGGTAAGGAAAAACAGAGAAACAGACGGGAGGACAGGCTAGCTTTCCAGTCTGTCCCCTCCACGAGGTAGTGAGCCCTTGTCTGAAGGTCTAAAGACCTGCAGCTTTGAAGACACAGAGCGCTGGCCTGCAGGGTGTGTGGACACTGAGGCCATGCCAGGCGCTCTCCAGGACACTGGCTCCCAGAGCCCATCACCTCTGGGGATGGCATCACTGGTCAACTACATGATGACGTACATAGATCTTGACATGCTGCTTCAGTGATGAATCCACTTTCTTTTTAAGCACACATGGCCCTAGAGCTGCTCTACTCTCAGTGTTCTCTAACCATAAAACTAGAAATCAACGAAGAAAAAATAAATGCCATACATTTGGAAATTTAAACCGCACTTTTAAACTATTCATAGGATAGAGAAACCATAGAAATTAGAAAAATTTGGAATTTAAATGACAACAAGTAGGAAGGATACAGTGAAAACAGTACCCTGAGGGAATTTATAGTGTCCTAAGAACATATTAGACAAGAGGAAAGCTTGGAAATTATTGAGTGCCCAACTCAAGAAAAAATCCAAAGGAAATGTACGAGCAAAAATGAACAGAATAGAAACCAAGAAGGATTAGTCCGGAAGCTGGCTCTCAGGTAATCTCAGGATCTGCTCAGTGTTTACTTACGGATTTGCCTTTCCTTCTACTTTTCTGACACCTCGGGAGTTAGCGCCCTTTCTTTCTTGCAAGCTCAACTCCGCATTTATTTGTTCTTGGTAACACTTGTTGGATTACAAGATGATTCACTTAGAAATTCAATGAAACATAACCTCACACATAGTGCTTCTGTATAAAACAAGGCAATCTTCTATCACTGAGGTCAGAGTTCAGCTACGTGGTCCTGATGCTGGCCAGCACTAAGTACACATCACTCCTGTTTCTTACACAGGAGACAAGACTTGAAAAGCTAGTAGTCAGCTCCTCTGCCTTCAGCCAGGTAGAGGGATATACGAACAGCATCAAAGTCTGACCACTTTACTGAACTGAAGCAATAAGATGGTCCAGTCACATAGTAAAAATGACAGAAATTACACACGGCTACAACGACATTAAGATAGTTATCTGATCTCAGAGAATTGCAAGGACAAATATTTGTTGAACAAGTGGATGAATAAGCAAACAAACCTCCTGCAATTGAAGGATTTCCGCTTCTAGACTCTTTAATTTCTTTTCACTCTCTTTGGATTGAGCAAAAATCTCATCCCTGGAGGCACGAGCTTCTTCTAACTCACGCTGGTAATCCTTCATCTGAGCCTAAAGATAAATAGGAAGCACGTTTGGGCAGTTTTCATTTTTTGTCTTTAAACATTTTTCCCCCCAGATTATAAAAGTAATATACATTCATTAAAAAATAAAAGTATATAGAAATGACAAAGATATCACAAGAAAACATTCAGACCAATAGCCCTTATGAGTATATACGCAAAAATCTTCAACAAAATAATATCCATCAACATATAAAAAAACATACATACATATAATTTATACACCACTATATCCCATCATCCAACTGAGATTTATATGAGCAATGCAAGGTTGGCTTGATAACGAAAAAGAATATAATCATATAATCATCTCAAAATTCAGAAGTAGTACTTGACAAAATCTAACACCCTCTTTCATTATAAAAACAGTAAGCTGAATAGAAAGAAATTTCCTCAACGTTGAGAAAGGCCATCCAGTTGTCCCAGAACTATTTGTTAAAAAGACTAGTCTTTCCCTCATTGAATTATTCTATCCCATAGAACTATATGTCATGAAAAAGAAGGACAAAGATGGAGAAGTCACACTTCCAAATTTCAAAATTTACAAAGCTACAGCAATCAAGACTACAGTATTTGCATAAAGACAGACATATAGATCAAGGGAATAGAATTAATTCAATGAGGGAAAAACTGACAGCTATTATGATGATACTTAATGGTCAAAGACTGAATGCTTTCCACATAAAAGCAGCAGCAAGACAGGGATATCTGGCCTTGCCACTTCTGTTTAACATCGTAATGGAGAGTCTAGTCAAAGCAGTTAGGCCAAGAAAAAGATACTCAAGACATCCAGATTGGAAAGGAAGAAATAAAACTAGATCTTGTGTACAATAAATCTTAAGGAATTCATTAAAAAAACCCCACTGGAACAAATAAACAAGTCCAGGAAGGTTGTAGAATACAGATCAATACACAAAAGTCAATTTTATTTCTGTACACTAATTATAAACATTTGGAAAATTAAGAAAATGATTATACTTAAAATAGCATCAAAATGAATAAAATATTAGGCACCAATTTAGCTAAAGAAGTATAAGGCCAATACACCAAAAACTATACACCATCATTGAAAAAAGGTAAAGAATAGGTAAATAAACGGAAAGATGGCCATGTTCATGGACTGGAAGACAATATTGTTAAGATGGTAATGCTTCCAAACTGATCTATCGAGTCGACACAATATCAAAACCTGAGCTGGCCTTTTTTTTTTCTCTCGCAGAAATTGACAAGTTGATCCTAAAATTCATATGGAATTGCAAAAAACCTGGATAGCTAAACAATCTTGAAAAAGAAGGACAAAGTTGGAGAAATTACACTTTACAAAGTTACGGTAGTCAAGACTATGTAGTATTTGCATAAGGACAGACACATAGATCAGTGGAATAGAATTAATTCAGTGAGGGAAAGAATAGTCTTTTAAACAGATGGTTCTGGGACAACTAGATATCCATATCCAAATGAATAAAGTTGAGTTTATATATAAAACCACATAACAATAATTAACTCAAAATGGAGTTTAAAAGAGTAAGGTTTAAAACTCTCAGGAGAAAACATGACCTTGGTCAGGCAGTGGTTTCACAGATATATTATCCAGGGATGACTTTTCCTTCTAAATTCTCTGAGTATGTGTAGCTACATGACGGTATGCAAACATCCACACACACGTGCAGGATTATAAACTAAACTGCCCTACACAGCATCTTCCTTTGCTCATGTAGGCCCTGCTATCACTGCATTCACATCTCCAGCATTTAAACGGCTGTCAGTCCACTGACATTTAGGCTGTTTCCAGTTTTGCTATCAGGAACATTTCAGCTGTGACCTTGGTATATGAACATTTCTTCTCATCTGTATATTTTATTAGAACACATTTTCAAGATGTGGAATCACCAAGGTCAAAGGGAAGGAGGTTTTCTAAAGCTTTTCGTCACAACAAATACCCTCCCAGAAGTGCCTGCGTATAGGAGGGACCGTCACATCCTGCCCGCACCAGGTCACTGCAGAAACTACTTGGTCATGTGACAGGGAAACCAGCACGGCATGGGAGCAGCAGAAGTGATGACTGAACCAGACTGAGAAGAGGACTAACGCTCACGGCAACCCAGGAGGGGAGTCAACACCACCTTCCGCTCTGGTGGCTCCGCGGCCCCGTTGGCGAAGCACCAACGGAAGCTGTTCAGAGCCCGAAGAGCATTCCTACTGGTGGGTGCTCCACCTGCTGACCCCACCCCGGCTCTGCCCAAGCTCGCCGAGTGCTGAGGGCGGCGTGCCACCTTTGGGGCTGCTGCACCCCCACAGCCAAGGCGATGGCTCTTGGCGGTAAGATGTCAGGCTGGGTGTCGCACAGGCCTTCCTCCCGGGCAGGACGACACCATCGAGGACCTCTGGTTGGCTGCACATACCTGAAGTTTACGAAGCTGCTTGATGACTTCATCCCTAGCCTTGTTTGCAGCCTCAATTTGAGATTCCAGGTCCTTCAAGTCTATTTCCATTTTCTTCTTTGAAGCAACAGCAAGCGCACGCTGCTTCCGCTCGTCCTCCAGCTCTGCCTCGAGCTCCCGCACCTAAGAGACAGCACCGGGTGCCGGTCAGACCCGGATCCTGGCACAGAGGACAGGCAGCCTGGGCCATACAGGGCTCTGGTGACTGCACAGGTCCCCTGCCACCAAGCAGTTACTGTTATTAACAGGAAGCCACAGTAGTGGCATCTTGTTCACAGATCTTTACAAAACACCACCTGGCACACACCATTTCCACCGACTGCTACAAGGCACCTACCAGGGCTGCGTCCCTGATCCCAAGTTCATGTTCCAGGTGATGCAACAAAATGGAAAGACAGGACGGTTTCCTGGGGGAGTTCCCTCCAGGGACAGACACTCAAGCAGCCCGTGGGGAGGCCCAGGTTCCAGGTGCTGAGGTCTCGGGCCAGTACCATGGGGGTGAGCCTGTTGGACAGGATCCCCCAGCCCCACCAGGCCCCCAGGAAATGCACCCGCTGAGTCCAGAATTCCCCACCCACAGAGGCTGTAACAAGTGTTGTCTTAAGCCACTAAATCTGAGCTAATTTGTTATCTATCAATAAGTGACTAATGTAATAAAATTAGTGGAATGAAAATAAACAACTTAAATAATCTAAGAATTGATACCATGAACTCCAAGGGAGTGTCACAATATTCACAACAATTTTTTAAAGTAAATTTTTAGAAATTTAATGTACATTTTAAAAAGAACATAAATCATAAGTGCCTAACCACTATTTTAGTTAAAAAAATGTAAATATCTTTTTTCTCCTTTAGAGAGTGGTTTAATGAGAACACGTGACTGGAACGTCAGCAATGAGCTGAACCACCTGCCAATGCGTTTAGATTCTTTCCTCACCCGTACTTTTAAGACCCACAGAACATGAATTTACACCATATTCCCCAGAGATTTCACTGAGGGAGGGCTTTTCTATCGGTGATTATGCCTTGTAAGCAGCACCGATACTGCCTGAGAACAGGAATTTAATTACATTAAATTGTAAAGAATAAACTTGATGATTTGACTCCAGTTAACGTGCTCTAACGTGAGTGAGCGGGGCTTGAGAATGGCCGCACGCCCCCACCCACCTGCTTAATCAGCAGCCGCTTTTTCTCTTCATTCTGCTCGTCCCTGGTCTGCAAGTCCCTCTCGAACTGGGCCTTCATGGCCTGCATGTTGACCTCCAGGCGCAGCTTGGCGTCCTCCGTGGCCTGGAGCTCGTCCTCCAGCTCTTCCAGCTGGGTCCTCATTTCTTCCACCTGCTGCTCCAGGGCCCGCTTGGATTTTTCAAGTTCATGAACCTAAACCAGTGGTGGGCAAACTCATTAGTCAACAGAGCCAAATATCAACAGTACGATTGAAATTTGTTTTGAGAGCCAATTTTTTTAAACTTAAACCATATAGGTAGGTACACTGTTATTAACATAATTAGGATACTCCTAAGGCTTAGGAAGAGCCACACTCAAGGGGCCAAAGAGCCGCATGTGGCTCGCAAGCCACAGTTTGCCGACCACGGACCTAAACCACAGGCGGCATCGAGAGTTGACCCCCAGCAGGGGCACAGCGAAGCACCTGCAGTCACTTCACTCAACTGGGCAAATGTGATGTGCATTTGACAGGTGAGGAAGCTTAGGCCGAGAGAGGTTCTGGCTTCTGCTGGGCAGACGGACGCTGGTGGGAAAGCCACGTCCTGAACCTGTTTCTGAGTCCTGGGCCCGGCTCGCTGACTGTCCTCACATGTACACTGGGGGACGGCGGGGGGGGGGGGCGTGCAGGGGGATAGGATCCAGCGCGGCTCCTGTGGGCGAGGTGGTGGGGGGAGGAGAAACAGTTCCCCGAAACTCCCAGACTGAACACGTCCCCGGTGCACCTGAGGTCTTCAGGGAAGACACGGGCTCACCGGGAAGGCCCAGTCGCTCCCCTCCAGGCCCCGCTCGGGGCGGAGAGGTCCCACCTGCCTCCCTCCGAGCGGCCCTCGTGCTCGGTAACCACCTGCTGACTCAGGAACCGAGCCCCTCCAGTGAAAGGGCCGCCAGAGCAGGTCAGGGCGGGAGGGCCGGTGAAAGGGACAAGAATCAACAAGTCTCCACCACCCGCAGGTGCTGCTACAGGAACGCCACACCAGGAACGGGCGGCAGGAAACCTGGCCGTTTGTTCCAGAAGACTCTAACCCCGTGCTTAGCCATGGGCCAGGCCCTCCCAGCTCCCCCGGCCCCCCCAAGGAGCTGCCTGCTCCCCCAGTGAAGGGACCAGCCCAGGGACTCACATTCTTGCCCACGTCGTCCTTGGAGCTCATCAGGTCTTCCATGTCTGCCCGGAGCTGCTTGTTCTGCCTCTCGAACTCCTCCTTGGCCTCCAGGGCCTCCTCGAGGGCGCGGGCCAGCGACAGGGCTTTGGTTTCTTTCTCTCTGGCCTCCGCTTCAGCGCGGTCCCGCTCTTCCGCGTAGCGAGCAGAGATGTTCTTCTCTTCTGCCAGCAACTGCACGGAATGGCATCGGGGAAGGTTAAAAACAAGTTCAAAAGCAACGTGGACGCACCCATCATGTCTGACCTATTGCTGAGAACACTGCTGCAAGATTATGGGTGTTCCCTTTTTTCCTTTTCTGCTTTTCCAATTTTGCTGTAAGTGTATATTGCTTTCCAATAGGAAAACATTATTTTAAACTAAAATAGGAGCGAGAGCTCTGCCCGGAGGAAAGGACGGTGGCACTGGCTCTGGAGTCAGGGAGACGGGACGCAGAGCAAGAACCCACCTGGTCAAACTTCTTCTGCTTCTTCTCCAGGTTGGAGACGATCTGGCGCTGGTGGTCCAGGTCCACCATCAGGTCGTCCAGCTCCTGCTGCAGGCGGTTCTTGGTCTTCTCCAGCTTGTCGTAGGCCAGCGCCTTTTCCTCCAGGCGCTGGCTCAGCGCCTCCCCGTCTTTCAGAAGCTTCTTTTTGGCTTCTTCCAAACTTTCAATTGTTCCCAAGTCATCGTCTACTTTCTTCTTTGTGTCAGTCAGCTAGGTTTTACGTCAAGAAAAAAAGATCAATAGTAAAGAAGTCAACTGATTTTCACATTTGAGGAAAAAAGAAAAAACGTGTTTTCAGTATTTTGTGGGAAGAAATAACAAATCAATGCTATTTGATTTTGAGCAAATTAATCTCAGACTGTAACTTAATTTCTTAGCTAATAATCTACAAAGTGATGATGGGATTAAAACCTTACATAGTTGACACAGTCCTGTGTCTTTTTTTTATTTTAAAATATTTTTTATTGATTTTCAGAGAGAGGAAGTGGGGGGGAGAGAGAAACACAGATATGGTAGCAAAACATCCACCGGCTGCCTCCTGCACGGCCCCCACTGGGGTCACACCTGCGACATGGGCGTGCCGACCAGGAACCGAACCAGCAACCCCTTGGTGCGCGGACGACGCCCAATCAACTGAGCCACACTGGCCAGGGCCTGTGTCTTTAATTTAAATGCTTCCAATATCAGAGCCAGCACAGCATCAACATTTGGCTGGGTCAAAGAAAAACCACTTAGTGGGCTTTATTTAGTGCAACCTAATTACGGTCCCCCGTGAGCTGAAGCAATCCAGCACAGCGGGGACATGAGCTGCTAACACGCACTCCAGGCCACCACCGCCTCCTGAGGACACACCTGGGACTGCAGGGCCAGCACTTGCTTCTCCAGGTTCTTCCTGGCCTCCTCCTCCTCCTCCTGCTGCTCCTGCAGGCTGTTCTTCTCCTCCTCCAGCTGCCGAATCCGGCTGCTGAGGTTCAGCTTCTGGCGTGTTTCTTCCTGAAGAAGCTCCTGTTTATTTTATGAAAGGTCGATACTTCAGTTACCTTAATCACCCTCACAAAAGACCTCATTAAAAATGCATGTCATAAAGCACAGAGGGCCTCAGTGTATGAGAAATACCCAGTGATATTAACAAACAGAAAAGATTTAAAAACACACGTGATCACGTTATAACAGCTCTTAACACAAATTCTGCTTCAAACTCATTCAGGAAGAATGGCAGCATCCTCTGTCCACCCAGAGCCCAGGCCAGGAACGTGCAGGTGGCCAAGAGGCCTCCCCTTCCGGCACCTCCTCACTTCTAGACCCCCTTCCTGTCCATGCCCCGCCCCGCCCCGGCACTGGCATTTCTCAGGAGGATTACTACCTCCAGGACTGGGCAACCCTTCCATTGCTTCTCCTTTATACTTTCTGCCCAAGTAATTTTTCTAAAATGTGAGGGCAAACAGGTCCTTCCCACTTAACACCGTCAGAGGCACAGGCAGCTTTCTGTGAGCGGCCCTCTGTCCCTCACCAGCCAGGAGGGGCCTCGGCACAGTGTAGGCCAGTGATGGCGAACCTATGACACGCGTGTCAGAGGTGACACGCAAACTCATTTTTTTGGTTGATTTTTCTTTGTTAAATGGCATTTAAATATATACAATAAATAGCAAAAATATAAGTCTTTGTTTTACTATGGTTTCAAATATCAAAAAATTTCTATATGTGACACGGCACCAGAGTTAAGTTAGGGTTTTTCAAAATGCTGACACGCCGAGCTCAAAAGGTTCGCCATCACTGGCATAGGCCCTAAGTACAGTGGCCCTGTCCCACTACCTCCAGATGCCACTCCTGTGTGTCTCGATCTTTAACCTGTATCCCCAGCACCCAGCCCAGAGCCTGGCAAATACGCTCCATAGAAAGTTTGAAAATTTAACAAAAATAAGATGTAAAACTCCAAGAAAGTTGCTACATTATGTTCATATTATCATGGTCGTTAACCTAACTGCCATCCTAACCAGTAATTTAACACAAGTCGTATGAAAGTAAGAAGCTTCAACACACCCTTTTACAAAATGGACTCTTTCTCCTCGGTCAGCGTATGGACATTTCAACTAGAACAAAACCGCCTTATTGAACTGGCCAGCGACACACGTGTGTGCAACAGGATGCTGCGGGCGAGCCACGCCCCAGGCAGCGCCCCCGCCCGGCCCACGCGCCTGTGCGCCAGAACCTGGGCTCCGCACTGAGCCTGAGTTTCAGGGGCTCCCGAATGTCACGGCTGTCACAGTGCAAGTGGCTCCAGACAGAAGTCACCAGAAACCCGGAAGGCAATTCACATATCGATTCTGGAAATGGCAGCGTTTTAAAGGCCCCTCGCTCCCCCTGGAATACCTGTGTGTCCTGCAGTTGAGACTCAAGACTAGCTGCATCCTTAGAAAATTTAATGCCCTTCTTCTCCGCTTCTTCCAGGAGAGAGGAGACATTATCCAGTTCATTCTGCGAGGAGGAGCAAAGTTACATGCAATCCGTCAGTGAGCAGATAAACGGCCCAGAACCACCACTCTCACGTGAGCATAAAGCAGCACTGAGGGAGGACCGCCAACTCGGTTAAGGAGGACTTTCTCACCGAGAGCCTGTCACCTCCCAACAGTGCCCACATGGGCAGGCACTGTCCCAGCCCCCACACACAAGGACGTCGTCTCTCCCCACGGAGAGGACAGGGAGCCTGGAACTGCAGGGCGCACGCACGGGGGCTCTGAAGAAAGTGTGGGTCTGTGAACACCTGAGCATCACACCCGACTCCGCTACAGAGAGGCGCTCGTGAGGCGGCCCTTGGCCGGCGTCAGGGAACTTAGACTTTGGGAGGCTCCTACGTTCCCCACGTGACAAACGGCTGGCTGTGCCTCAACCAGGAGCAGGAGCACGCGGCTCCTGGGAGTCTTCCCAGTGATGAGTCGTGAGGCGGGCGGGCCTCCCACTTCACACATTCGTGCGAACACTGGTCTATGCCGAACACCTGCTTCCCTCTGGATCTGGCATTTTGGTCTGTGCCAGGCAGAGGGCGCCCGTGCCCGGCCCCTAGTCACCACCCGGGCGCTGTCTCTGGGCTCCCCTGCAGCTGAGGGGCCAGCGCTGCTCTCTGAGGGCCTTGCAGGGACCCGTCCCTTTCCTTCCTGTACCCTTTCACTGTTGTAGGGCCGCACGCCGGGCCCCGGGTCTCCATGCCACACGCTCTGATTGTTTGCAGGGCAGCACACGTAATTACATCTTTCGCACCAACAGACACTGCTCCTGAATTGTTTTTATTGTTTGCACATTAAGTGTGCAAACAATAAAAACAATTATACTTCCAGCTATATTCTTCTATGCACACTTCTGCAGTGGACAGTCTGACTGGAATCTGCGTGCACATCCTTAATGGTTTCCCTGGGACAGACCTCTAGTCGTGAAGTCACTGGGCGGAGGGCGGGGCAGGGGTATCCTATTCTCAAGGCTCATGGCACCAAAACTGCCTGCCACACTGTCCTCCAGAGAAGGCTGTGTTAACTTACACTTAACCACAGTGTAAAAATCCCAGTTTCACAAGCCTTCCCCAAGACTAGGTACAATTTTTTTTGCCAATTGTTCCTGCTCTCTTATTGACTAGACCGATGGAGAAGCTGAAGTTGTACTTGAAACCAGTGAAAGCACTATGTCTATGATTCACTGTGAATTCAGTAGGCTCAGGCCAACTCATGCTGTCTCATTCCTAAGTACAGTTTAACTCAACCACAGAATGCACCCGAGGGACCTACGCTGGACATTTAGGTGATGCGACGCCAGGCACTGAACAGCACATCGGCTGCGGTCTCTCAGGGCCGCGGGGTGCGGGGGAGCTGTGTGCCGAGCTGGGGCATGTGGGGCATGCGGAGTGGTCGCCGGGGCTCACCTGCAGTTTGTTCGCTTTCTCGGCCAGTTCCACGCGGAGCCGGTCCCCCTCGGAGACCTTGGCGTGGAGCTCCTGGACCTGGGCATCCAGTTTCTTCCTCTTGTGCTCAGACTCGGCCTTGACCTGCTGCAGCACCTTCACCTCACACGCCAGCTCCTTGTTGTCTGTCTCCAGGCCCTGCTTGTTCTTCTCCAGATTTGCTTTGAACTAGGAGGGGGGAGGGAAAAACAGTATCTTCATTACACGCCAGGAGAGGCACCGCTTGCTGGTTTGTCGGATTGTGCCCGACACAGTGAGCCTGAGTCAACACTGAATGAATGACTGAAACATCCGCTGTGCTGTGTGGAGAGTGCTGTAGAAGGAACACACGTGTGCACGCTGCTTGGGGTAGTGGGTGCAGATATTTAGGGGCTCACTGCACTGTGTAATTTATCCTTGTCAGTGCAGGCTGGGGGGCGACACCCTGAGCACATCCTGTCCAAAGAGTAACGATTCATTCATGTCCTTCTTGTCTGAAGCGAGCTCTGTCTCAGGTGGTTGTGACAAACGAGTGAGCAGTGTGTGTTGGTGCAAGGTGGTCACAGTAGGCTGGTGTCTCGTGGACGACATGGGACATGGGATCGGCTTTCAAAGCCCTCTCGTTGGGGGTGGCGTGGGGCTCTGCGGCCTTCCTGCCTGGCCTCCACCTGCCTTTCCACTTACTAGCTGTGTGATCCTGGCTTAACTTTCTAACGAGACTGGGCCTCAGTTTCCTCGTCTCTGAGTGAACATGACAGAGACTAACCCATAGGACAGTAACGAAGGTTAAGAAGGCAGTGCACGTGACTGACGCACACTGTGACAGCACTTAGCAGCGACGGACACATACTGAGGGGAATGTCAGTACCTGCTACTGTTGTCACTGTATAAACTGGAAGGTGGTATGTGGGCGGGAGGAGAGAGCACTGGGGAAGTCGGGCAAAGGCACAGAGCGTGGAGGACAGGACAACTGGGAACCGCTGCCCAGGGAGGCTGAGTCAGAGGGTAAATGAAATTAGTTTCATCAGGAGGGAAAGCCTGTGTTAGAGACACACAAGAGGGAGCAATGTGTACAGCGGCTTGAGGTCAGAGGCAGGGGGGCCAAGGGAGAGACGCGCATAAGGAACACGTGAAATATCGGGGTGGGGGTGGGGGTGGGGGT